GCAGGCCACACCTACAGAAGAGGTTCTAAAAAATTTTTGAAACCCACCACTGCATCAAAGCAATTGAATTTATTGCCCACAATGATTGGGATAGTGATAGGAACAAAATTGGGACATCTAACATGATTTCCACACCTTCCCCCCATTTTTTTTGGGGGGGGGGGACACCAGTTTCCTTTTCCATTTCTTTCTTTTTTATTTAACTGTGAGTTATTTTGTTATGGCTATTTTATATTTGTGAATTTACTGCCCCAAGGTAGTCAGGAACTACACTGTAGCTGTAGCCACAGAGGATTTGCAAAAGAAAGGGGAGCAGTCAACTTTATATAAATGTGTCTTAAGTTGTACAATAATTTGCTCGCTCGCACACTCCCATAGGGTGGGCATGCTCCAGGTTCTCTCTTTAATCTTTGCCAACCCAAGGGACTTAGGAAGCGTGCCCTTTCAGAGGTTGCCCTTGTGCTTTTGAAAGATTTCCCTCCCCTCAACAAGATATGACAGCCCCCCCAATTCTGCTGGGGTTTAGAAAGACCTGGCTTTTTCCCCAAGGCATCCCCCAGGCACTCAGGTCCAATCGAGGGGAGCCCCCTCTTGGTTGATGTTGTTATTGTGTTTAATTGACATTTTGTATTTCAAATTTATTGGTATATGTTAAATTTTTAGGTTATGTTGTTCTTTTGGTTATTTTTCTGTTGGATACTGATCACAAGACACTTTTTTGAGTCATCTTGCCTTATCAGTTCCATAAATCAATACATTTATCCAACATATTTACCTGGTTATTTATTATTTGTCCATTTTTTGGGAAACTTTTCACCGAGCATTACATTTCTTTCTCTTATTATTGTTTTAGGAGCCCAGGCTTGTGTGCTTGTGTTTTCAACCGTTGATAGGGAATCTTTTGAAGCAATTCCTACCTGGAGAGAGAAAGTTGTATCTGAAGTCGGAGACATTCCCACAGTTCTTGTTCAGAATAAGATTGACCTCCTGGATTATTCTTGCATAAAAAAGTAGGTGCTCTCCTTAAATTCCAATAAACAAATCTTTTCAGAGTACTTGATAAATTTAAAAAAGACGTCCACCTCGATACTTCTATGAACAAACTACATTCTAGAGAACAGGCGTGCTGCATTGCTAGGCTGCAAATAATGTTTTAAAATAAATCTGGGTAAAGATAAAAGTTCATATTAAGAAGAGGCATATAAGTGCCTTGTAGAAAGGGAGAGTGTGAAGCCCATGCTTCCTGTGAGTCTGATCTATCTCAACAAACATCTAAATGAACACTTTGCTTTATTTTAAATGCTACATACAGTAAAACCTGAGAGTAAGAGATAACTCAGTTTCCCCTTAGGAAGATTTTTCTTCCACAAACGCAGTAGTCATCCTTACCTTTCACAGAAGCACTGAGTTTTTTTTTATTCAGTTGCAACCCTCCCCACCCTTCCCAAGTCATTTAAAAAGTCAAGTTTCGATTTTATTGTATTTTACTGTAAGTTACCGTAAGTTAACAGCCAAACAGAACAGGTGATCTGCTTGTAAATATAATTCTTGCCAAGAAAGACTGCAAGAACCAAAAGTAAACACTATGGGAGGTCTTAATGAAAGAATACAAAGGAAAGACATCAAAAGACATCTTGCATTCCAATCGTATGAACTCACAAAAGTCCTCCCTGCACTTTTCTGTATCGTTTTTTTTTTTCATGATATGAACAAAACTGATCGGTATTTCTTGAGTGTGGGTCTGGCACTCTCAGGAAATAGTTTGGCTCAAATGTTGCAAAAATCGGAGAATTTCGTTTCAAATGCAGTATTTTAAGAAGAGTGCAATAGAGGGATGTTGTATGGCTTGCTTTTTGCAAAAGCAGAATGTACGACTTTATTGTAAGTCCGTTTTTTCTTACGTCCTTGTGTTTTCTCACAAGTGAAGAGTCCGCTTTTTTATCAACACTCATTCGTTTGTGTAGCCAGGGATTAATANAATAGTCCATTTCGGATACTCAGTATAGTGTTGGTAGAAAAATCCATCTGGTTCATTTCCAAGCCGGGAAAAAAGCACTGGAGACAAAATGGAGGCTGGGCGCTGTTTGGAAAAAGGGTCCATTTATTGGTGAAGCAGAACCACCAAACACGTGTGATTCTGGGTAGCTGACCACATGGAGTTGAGACTGAGCAGTTTTTATACCTTCTCTTGGGCTTTGAACTGGAGCTTCCTGTTTCGCTGCAAGAATATGTATTCTATTGGATGTTATCAGACTCGCACAATGCCATGTATAATTCCTAGGAGTTTGTCTGAGCTAAGTTTGGTTGAAGTTTGGGCTGATGCAACGAAGGGGCTTGTTGGGCAATTCCTCTTATGGGTGAGGGTTAACCATGCCTTTGTTCAGATCTGGCTGTTTGGAATTTGCTGATGAATAGAGCTATCTTTCTCTTTAACTCTTAAGTGCTGACATCTGCTGTGGGCTATTAAGAAAGGTGAGAGCTCTTAAGAATGGGTCTGCTTCCTGCCTCTAAAAAAAACATGCTTTTCCATTTCTCATCCAGGAAATATAATATTCTGCCTGTTTAATATTTTCTAAAATATTTCATTCTTCTAGAAGTGGGTGGGTGCTAACTTTTTACAATAGACTGTTGATATATTTACCTTTCCCCAATTCAGGAAAATATTGAGAGTTTTGACTCTGTGGCATCCTTGGTACTCTGTGATCTTGGTTGTTTTCTTGCAGAAATTTCATTACCAAATTAAGGAACAACATCAGTGCCTTTGATTCTTTTCCTATCTGTAACGTATCTGCATATGCCTGCTTCATATTCCGCCATTGTATCCCTAGTCCATAATTAGAAAGAGTAAATATTGCTCCTAAAATATATACAAGTATGTGTGTGTGTATGTGCATGCACACACACACACACAAACACACACACACTTATGTAATAAGGCATTCTGTCTTATTTTACCAGCACTAATTCTGCAACTTTATTTTAAAAGAACACTTTAAAGCTAGGCTGGTTTACGAAATACTTTCTATAAACATCTTAGTAATATAAAAATAAATTGATACCTAGTAAGACGGTGAAATATATTTGTGAGCATCATCTAATAATTTTAAATTAACATTAGTTTAGTTTCTCTGGTATTTATCTAGGTTTATCTATGATTTGTCTAAGTTATTGCATAATGTATGCCAGTAGCAAAGAATTGAGACAAATGTACATACTACATAACAATGTCATGAAATGCATTCTATATATTTATTTATTAGACATATACCGCTTCATAGGGTTTTCAGCCCTCTCTAAGCGGTTTACAAATTTTTTTAGCAAATTGAGTCAGCAACGTGCCCCCACAGTCCGGGTCCTCATTTCACCCACCTNGTATATAAGTCTACTGCTATTGCTATTATTATTATATCCTACGTATTAATATATGTATGTATTTATGTATGTCAATCAGTTCAAAGCTGTGAACATACCTAATACTCCTATCTTCTATTTTTCCCACAACAACTTTGTGAGGTGGGTTGGGCTAAGAGAATGATTGGTTCAAAATTTGGTTAAAAAAATAAAAATTATAGTTCTATGACAACTAGATTTCATTGGGTACTCCTTATAGCCTCTGTGCAATTGCATATGGATGTAGGATTTGGGTTATAATCCAATTCAAGTTTTATATGTTCCTTCACTATATATGCAGGTACAAACGTTTTGTGTGTTTGTGTGTCTTCAAGTCAATCTTGGCTTCTGGCAGGTGCCTGGACGAGTCCCTGCAGTTTTCTTGGCAGCATTTTTGGAAATGATTTGCCATTGCCTTCTTCCTAGGGCTGAGCGAAGGTGGCTGGCCCAAAGTGAGCAGCTGGCTTTGTGCCTAAGGCGGGACTTGAACTCACAGTCTCTGGTTTCTAGCCTGGTGGTTTAACTGCTACACCAAACTTGTTCTTAGCCACAGAACAAAATGAAAAAAATATTTGAAAATATAAAATATTCTACTTTCCATTAAAGAATGCCCTTCTGGGAGTGGAATGGCATTTCCAAATTCTTGACCTGGAAATGCTGTCTCAAGCCACCTCCAAATCATTGTAATTTGCTTTCAGAAACTACCCAGTTGCTCCCGGAATGGTATGTTCTAGAGAGGGAAGAAAATGTCCTGGAATCATCAACTTTGTACTTCCATAGATAAATTTTTTTGAGATTGAATTATAGATGGTTTATCACAAGCTGAACTTAAATTCTAAAGCTGAAGAAAAAGGTTAATTCCTGGGGAACTATTTTCAGTTTTTCTCGACTGGGTAAGACTGGCAGGGGCCAAAGTGATTGCTCCAAAATATTTGGAGAACTGAAGTTTGCAACCCGGAAATAAGATTATTATAATGAATGAAACAATGTTCTATTCAAAATGTGGGTTTTGCCACTGAATAATTAATATTCTATGAACAATATAATTACTAACAGTATTCATCACAAAGATTTTTCTGCCTTGAATTTAACAGCTTGTGTGTTTAACAACCTGTGTGAGTGTTTGTTTATTCCTTACTAGCCTATATAAGGAAGATTGTTGTTGCCAATTTTAACATTTAAATAACTTTCAGTTTGTAAGGAAACTGTAGGCTTTACAAATAAAAAAATACATATTTTCCAAAGGCCTTGATATTTTTTATGCTACAGTTTTTAGATATTTGGCTGAGAAGTACCTTCAAAAATTTAAGCAACGAATAATGGAAGATCCAGAAGTTGTACATACAAGTAGTAACAGAATTGGTATGTATACAGTTGTGTGCTGCAAAGCAGAAAATATTGTGCTATTTTACTTTTTTAAAACTAGTCTTTGGCCACGCACTATCAAAACCACCTAATAATTTAACAAATTAAAGGTATCCATTTTCAGTCCAGCTTAGCTTACTTTCCATTGTTATTTAAAATGAAATTTTAGAATTTCTACTAATGGCAAAAATACTGACGAAGAGGTTAAAAACAGCTTGCTATGTCTTTGAAAGGCACCTGATAAAAAGAGTGTTATGGA